GACGTGAGGAAAAATTTCTTCACCGAAAGGGTTATCAAGCATTGGAACAGGCTGCCCAGGGAAGTGATTGAGTCCCTATCCCTGGAGGTATTTAAAAAGACCTGTGACATGGTCCTTAGGGACATGGTTTAGTGGTGGACTTGGCAGTGCTAGGTTAACCTGATGATCTTTTCCAATCTAAAGAATTCTATGATTTGTTTATAGCTTCTTCAGAAATACTCTTTTTGGGGATCTCTTCTGAAGGTGATTTTCTTTTAAGCTGTCAGCAATATGTGGAAACTTTTAAACTTAAATGCAAAATGCCTTAAATTATGAAAATTGTGTGACTAATTAGTGAGCAAAAAGTTTCTCTATTGATTTGATACACCGATTATTATGCATGATAAAAATGCTCAGCGGAGTTGCCATTTACTGTGTTAGTCTTAGAACAGAGCAGTCTTTGAAATGTAATGACCACATTAAAAATCAAGTAGTTTTTAAAGGGCTCAAACACATGATTCTGTTTATTATTGAAGGAAGTACTCTAAAAGAAGACATGCAGTTAAAATGTGTATTTCACTGCAAAATATACTGGGAAATGACAATAAAATCTCATATGAAAGACAACAGTGCACAATAACCATATTAGCTTCCAAGTTTTGTACACAAACAAATACTCTATTAACAAACTTCACATCACGCACAAAAGGCAAGAGCTTCACAAAAAATGATTGTAAAAGCATGGCATTGATATGATTTTTTTTTCGCTCCAAGCTTGCATTCTCTGTATAATGCTTGGGAAGAATGAGAACAGGTGTGAAAATAACCATAAAGAAATTGCCAGTGCATAAGCCATTCAGTTGGCTATGTTTTCTAAAAGATAATGAACACAGAGAGCTTGATTCAGATTCACACTACAGTTCTTTCGTACCTCCAGGATAAAGTGTGGGAGATGATAGTCTACTTTAGAGCCTGTTTTGGAGAAGAATGGTATGAAACAGCTTTAATATTAATAAGAATTAACTTGGTACTTTTCAAAGTAGGATGTGAATGTATCCACCTTTTTATTATGATGATATATCGATGAAAATACATTCTGTACAAATATCAGCAAAACACATCTGAAATAGAGACAGTGTGATTAATTCCTATCTTTTTAAAATAAATATGTACAATATTTACATTTTGGACAGTTCCAGAAATGAACATGTCCAGATTATGTACCACTACCTGAAACAATTCTCTATTATTATAGAAAATGCCTTTGCTGTACAAATATTTATAAATACATATATATAAACTTTTTCAGTGAAATGTCTGTGGATTCATTCAAAAGAAAAACATGAGATATTCTTATTATCAGCTAACATTTAACTATCAAGTGTTCACATATTAAACAGTCTAGAGCATGATACATCAGACAGAAGTAGATTTTTGGTGTTGAGAATATTTTGTGATGTGCTTCTGTGCCATCATACTGGCAAATCTGACTGTCTTTTCTGAAAATCTGCAGAAAAGCAGCAGGACTGAATCAGTTTGACTCAGTGATTGTTATAGACTGCACCATGTCAGACAGGATTTCTGGGTCTACTTCTTCTTTACCGTTATCTGAATTCTCTGATGAGATGTAACAGCCAGAATCTCTTGGGCAGTCATTTAACTGTGATTTGTCAAAGCTGTGGTGAGGGCTTAAGCTCTGCGTCTCCTGATCACCCTCACTTTTCTGCTGTTGTTCAACTAGAAAGAACAGAAAAAGAAAGAAAAAAATTGTCAAAATAAGTATCCTGGGAAAGAGTTTGGGATAGCAACATGACTGATCTTGAAGAACTGTAGAAGCAGAGCTGGTAATATACACAGGACTAGATCAATATCTTTTGTCAATCAGAAACAGAAACCTCAGCATCAAAGAACTAAAAATATGATTACATGAGTATAACAACATCTAAGTTGATGTTGAGGTTGGCTTTGATCCTGCAGTACGTTGCTCAGAGATGAATGCCGGAGACTTTGGCCTCATCCTTTAGACTGAGGTCCTTTAGGCTGTTCACAGGTGCAACAGTCACCGTGCATGGTGACCGTGCCCGCAGTAGAGATGGCAGCTTTTCCCCTCCCGCATTCATGTATTCCAGAGCCTGCTCACGCAATTAATCATGTAGCCTACTGCGCCTTGTTTATAACACATTGCATTATAGATGTTGTGTCTTTTGAATGTAACCCCCGCCATTTTACCTACTCTGTGCATGTGTAGTGAGATATAACGCGCTGGTCTTCAGAAGTGCTTAGCATAAAGATGTGGTAATCAGTTTTTCTAAAGCACTGGACTTTTCAGTGGGAGTGGGTGGCTGATGGAAAGTGCCTAAGCTTAGCTTGCTATCCAAAAGGTTATTTTCCAAAACACAAAGGCCTCAGAGAAAGCTAAGATGCCTAACTCCTGCTGTATGGTTTTTGAACACTGTTCCAAAACTATGTAGAAGCAAATTATCTTGCAAATAATTTGTCCTTGTTTAGCTGCTGTATGGCTAATCTGTTCAAACTCAAAAATCTGCAACTCAGCAAGAGTATCGACAGACCTCTCAAAAAAAAGCTCAACAATGGTGCCTTGCAGACAGGATATACCTGTATATGATGAATCTAATATATCTTGTGGTTAAAGTTTGTGTTCGTATTTTCTAGTTGTGAAATACATGATGTTTACTCACAGTAAATTTCTTGAGAAAACAAGCTATAAAATATACAATTTTTACTTTTTTTTACTTACTTTTTTTTTTGGTTTTTATCGTCCTCCTGTAACTGTATTTTTACTTCAAACTGTGGCTTGCTTTCCAAACAAAGCATAAGGAACAAATCTCACAGGAAACAGGTGGTTGTACCCCAGATTTTAGCCCTTCAGAAAAATGGTACCTTCTTGCTTTTGCGAAGAAAGTTCACTTATTTCACTTGACTTGTTACTCCATGGTTAAATATTTAGCTTCCAATCTTTAGTCAGATTTAAGCTGTCTCAATTCAAGTCCAGGCAGAATGGAAGTCCTAATACATGAAGGATTTTATCCTTTGTCAAAATCTAAATCTAGTTTAGCTCCCAGAATTATAAAATTTCTACAAGGAAAATTCATACTGACATTTGTTTCAATTGTTGGAAGTTATAAGATTTCATAAGATGGGAAAGATTTTAAATTTGGATTTTTATTTTTTTTTAAATCTTGTGTTGTATAACAAGGAATAAATTAGAAATGAAAAATTGAAATGTTGCACTCTGAAAATATTGAAGTGGAACAGCAGGAGAGTCAGTACCTTTCTTCATTGTGGGCGATTTCAATGAACTTGTTTCACAAAGCATTTTGGTATATTGAGAAGCATTTTTAGGTCTTGGTGGAAGTCTTGTAGATTCATTTGGACTGATTAATTCTGTTTAATATTTTCTAACTTTCAATTGCCTAATTAAGTTAATAAACTAATCTGATTTTTGAAGGAAAGAATCCAAAGTCTCAACTTAGTCATTTTTGCATTAAGCCTGAGGTTATAGGCATAACCTGATGTATTTAAAAAAAAAAAAAAAAGATTACTCTAAATACTTTCCAAGGAATAGAAGTCCCACCTTGTTCCCAAATAAAATAATGATTAATTGCACTTGCGTGAAAGAGTACACCTTTCAGCAGATTTAATTGATATCTGTAACTGTTTGATCTCCTCACTTTACAGAACACAGTTTGTCATGTCAAATGTTATCTCTCTGTGCAGGGAAAATATTTGATCACGTAGGGTCCAATTGATTTCTGATTTAAGTCAGGAAGGAATTACAAAAGGCATTACACCAGTGAAGGTATTACTGCTGCTATTAGTAGCAACAGAAGTAGTTTACCACAAATAACAGCAGATGCCCCAGTAAAGCCTTGTCTAAACTGGGTCATTAGCTCCTCGCACCCGTCCCACCGGCGCCAAGATGACCCAGGTCTTGGTGGCCGTGGGCTGACAGAGCTCAGATGGTGGCTGGGTGAAGTCCTTCTGCGCGGCTGCAGGCAGGGCTCCCCTGCCCTCCGCTGTAATTCCCTCATCGGCCTAATGCTGCTTGCTGGTACTTTTATTAGCTTCTCTAGCATCATCTGCTGCCCTGGAAAGCGGTGACCTAAAAAGTGTTAATCCTGTTTACATTTTGAAGGTCAAAGAGGAACCTCCATCCACTTTTTGTTTGTTTTACAATGGAAAGAAGACCAAGTAACTAGTGGATTAAAAAGAAAATGCAGTTTCAGTCAGTGTATTAGTGTCCTGTAACTAGTGATAATCTGAGTAGCTCCTATGTGAAAAGCAGATCCTAAATTCTTTTGTAGCAATGTCTTTCCCTTGTGTGTTTCAGGGAAAAAGACACAGACAAGCCTGGAACTGAGACTTTTTTAAAATCTGAATTTAGGTCCGCTAGGAGAATAAGAAATTTCTATTTAGAAAACATACAGAAATGTAAAACTTCTGTCTCTTCCCATAACACTGGAAGAATTTTTTACATGAAAAACTGAAAACCAAAAATGTTCAGGTGTTTGAGACAGTAATAATATTCTATTTTCTGTTTTTCATTCTGAGCAGAAAAAGTTGAAGAACACCCCACCCCCCGTATTTAAGAAGAAAAGACTAAAAGCAAACTTTGGCTTTTTTTTTTTTCTCTCTTTAAAGCAACCTTAAATATTATGCAGTAACTACTAAACCACTTGAATAGGATACTGAGTATTATAAATACATGTAGCATACAGCTTTAGATGTTGCTTCACGAGAAAAGAAACTACGCTTTTTTTTTTTGCTTTTTTTTTTTTAGCTTTTGGGTCTTGCGTTCAGTTCTACTTAATTCCTTCCTCTAACACGTACATGTTCAAGTTCCATATTAATAAAGGTAAGTTTGCTGTCTTAATCTTTTGGACATCAGAAGAAAGATACAATGCACAGGAAACAGGAATTGATAAAATTAAACTGCCGTTAGATGTTGCAGAATCATCAGAAATAGCTATCTTATCAAGCAATGGAAGTCCTATCATTTTTCTACAGTAAAGCAGTTTCATATAAGATAAATAGCTTTCAGTCACTGTTGTCTATGATATAGCCAGAAGAGTCCAAGATATGCATCATTTTGACACATATATTCTAATACTACTTTAGACGGTAGGATTATATTCAGACTTCTGAAAAAAAAGTGAGGCCTTTAACCTTGGTAATAGATGTGTGATGCATACTTATCTTCCTCGCTATTTAGATCTTTGAAATGAATATTTGTTATTCAATGACATAGATGTGCACGACACATGCAGGGATAGATCTCTTTTTTTCTTTCACCAGCTTCTTCCCCTTTTTTAATGAGTTTAAAGTCCTGATGAGGAAAGCACTTTAAGCTTAGGTTTAAGGCAATTCAGCTCAAGAATGTACAGAGGTCACACTGACTCCTGTGCGGTTATGTCGGTTTAAACCAGATGAGTGGCAGGAGGCTTGGATTTTGTCTTGGGAAAAAAAGAAGGTCACCCAGCAGCAAGCCGTACTTCATGAGCGTGCCCTCTGAGAGTTTGCCTTCATGAGTTTTGCCCAGAAGAAGAACTGGGCTAGGAGCACAATGCTTTAGGCTGTCACTTGCGTGCCTTCCTGGAAGGTGCAGCGGTGACGTACTGAGCAGCACCATACAATAACTAAATAGAACTAAGTGTGTCTTCAAGGCTGATGTTAGACCTCCTAGGTACGTATGAAGGCCATGTATCAACCTGTAGTGCCTGTATCAGTTAGACCACCTAAGTGTTAAAATGAAATGAAAACTCACAAAGCATCAAACTCGGAAAGGATCATTTTGAAGCAGTAAATGGTCATACTTCTTGAAAAAGAAGCAGAGAAACCTGAAGAGGTTCTGTACACACATGCAATACTTTGGGGACTCAAAGGAGTAAACCTTTTGTGGATATTTACAGACATGCAACTTAAAAAATTGCACTCACTGAAGTCAGTGGCATAGCTTTTCTGGGAGGGATACTGAACTGATGTGAGAGGAGAGTCTATGGTGAAAACAGAAATGAGAAGGTTCTTTTTTCTCTAAAATCTGGAAGCAAACAGATGTGCCTGAAAAAAGGTGAAAAATACTAATACTCATGCAAGGATGAGCTTCCTTGGGAAATCTGAAAATACTACGTCCAGGTCAATGAGTTGTACCACAGTACAGAAGGGGAGATTGTCTTTGAGCACTGTTTGACCTTGAAAATGGGTCGACGGTTGGACTTGATGATCTTAGAGGTCTTTTCCAACCTCAATGATTCTATGATTCTATGATTCTATGAGTTGTACCACAGTACAGAAGGGGAGATTGTCTTTGAGCACTGTTTGACCTTGACATGATATTGTGTAATCCCACGTACTTAAAGGGACTGCCCAGTGTAAAATAGTACTCTTGATGCTAGGTCCTCACGTGAGGAATGCAACTGAGAGCTGAAAGTTGTGTCCTCAGCTGCCTACTATCTTGCTGTGCAAGTACAATAAATAAGGAACAAGCCTTATCTGGTACTGGCAGTGGGATTTAGAGTATGATCTGGCACTTAGAAAGTAAGATAAGGAAGTGGATTTGGGGAGATAAGCATAAAATATTACCCTCAAATTGCACATATGCACCTTTTTTCTTCTGTAAAATGAACTGTATGCACATATCCAATGAAGTCTAATTCTTCTTTAACTCAGAATAACTTTGGACTAATGTAACCCACTGGACTTGAGGAATGAACCTCTTGACTTACATCATCTAAGTGAGGAGAGAATCAAGGCTATTTTGCACACACAAAAACGTGTGTCCTGGGAAGCGGTCAAGAAAAAAGTTCCAAACTTCTTGTATTACTTTATTCATTAACCATCCAGCAACTGCTTCACTTTAAAAATAGCATCCTACAAAAGCACAGACATCCATCTCCTGTCTAGAAGCCATCTGGGAGAAGAATGAAAAGCTATTAAGAAATACTTTATGAAAAAGAGCTTTTTTTTTCATCCCTAACCATGAATTCATGGAAACCAATCATTTTGTCCCAAATATATAGGTCTGATCAACATACAGAAAATCTAAAAAGAGATCTGGGAAGGGGGGGAAGGTCATGAGGAGCTTACAAGACCTTGCAGTTCTAGGATGGCCTTGCTACGTGAAGTACTTGAAGATGGTGAATTTGGGCCTGGACTCCCAGGAAAGGTAGAAAGAAGATAGTGCAGTACCAGGAAGAAAAATCTGCTTAAAAAACACTATGTGGTAGCATGTGCCAAATAAAACTTACTTTTTAATTCCTGGTATAAGATGGGTAAAGTTTTTCCTTTCAGATTCATTCAGGTCTAAGTCAAATGTAAGATGAAAAAATTCTCACTGCCAGAAATCCCACATTTTGGACAGCTTTAAGAAGCATATAATGTGGAAACTATTGCTGCAGGTCTTTTGGTTAGAAAACTCAATAACTGTTCATTCTGCAACATGAACTATATAATCACAAGTATGCGGCATGAAGAAATCACTTAGTATAACATACAATAAATGTCAAGAAAAAGCCAAGGAAAGAAAAAGAAATTAAAAGCCCTGTAAAAAAATCTGGACATTTCACAATATCAGATATCACATTAAAGAAATATTAAATCTTGTTTTACTACATTTATAGTAGAATCTAGTAAAATGAGGCTATGTTCCAGCACGCTTGGCTGTTCTGAATAATAGCAGAGTCACAACAACTCAGAAACCGTTGCACTTCAACTCTGGACCATACCTGAGACTCCATCCATTAATCAAACACGTGCTTCATGGAAGCATGAATGTAATGCAAAGACACGGAAGTATTCCAAGCTCTGTGAGAAAGATGGGCTTAAAACAGTAAATATGGTCTATGGCCTTAGTATATTTTTTCACAAAGCTTATAAAAAGAGTGAACTTTTACCTGGAAAGGTGCTGAACTTATATCTAGAATACTCTTGGCCAGTAAACAGATTACCTTGTAGCTGTGGGTAATTATGCTGCTCACTTCTAAGCAATGCAGAAAATCAATTTCAATTAAAAAATCATTTATGCTGGACTGAGTCATGCCCATTTAGGAAAAAAAAAATATTGACCTGGGAAAGTTCAGTTCAGATGCAGAATTCACTTTCGCAGTAGCACCCAGCTCTTTCAACCCAATTTTCCAATCGGATTGACAGAAGGACAAAGAGGTCAAATGATTTGGACGAAGTCAGACTCATGCTGAGCTTATCCCCAAGATCATCTTGACTCCCCATCTTTCGTTATAACAACTTAACAGATAGCTTCTATCAATTTTAGTCTGTAGTATATTCCTTTTTAGAGCAGGTTGTTAAGTTCTGTTCTGTCCCTACCAGTCATGTGACAAACGCTATGAACCTTTGGCAACCAGACAAGGCAAGGATTTGATTCAGTCCTGATTCAAGACAGTATCCCAAACCAGGAAAATATTTATGCGTGGCTTACCTTAAAATATAGATGAGTCTTTTATGAAACTCAACTAGACTTAAATGAATGCTTATAGCTGGCATGATATATAAAGATGTCTTGGTTCTGGTCCCTGTGAGTATTCATAAATTCTGGGAATATTATTTTATTGAATTTGAATACTAGAAAGATTGGCTATGCCTATCTAAAGTGGATGTGAAGCAAATATTAATTTCATCCCTTGATCTAAGACTACAGTGTCATCACTGATTTTGAAGCATGGGCCACTTTATAAGATTTAATGTTATTATTTCCAGAACCGTTACAAGAATTTAAACTATTAGACTACTACACAGATAACATCAGGGACACTGTTTTGCCTGGAGAAGTGACTTAATGCCATGCTGCCAATTAGGAAGAACCCTATTTGGATAATTAAGGTAAATTTATTAATTTTCAGTGTATGGGACATGTAGGGACCTTGTTAGGTTTGGTCCTTGCACAGGTATATGTAGAATATTAAGAGACCTTCAGAAAAAGAAAAACTTGGTGTCATCTTCTAAAAAGGTTAGGCGTCTAAGGCTGCTTGCTATGCTTTTTGTTACACAAGGAATATAAATAGTAAACCATATCCTCACTACTCCAGAATAGTTTGACGCTCGTGTGGTCTGTGAAAAACCATTAGGTTTTGGGTTTGTTTTTCACACAGGTGCAAAACTGCAAAATTACAATCTAGCATTTTTCTTTTTTTTTTTTTTGTGTGTTAAATGTTGATATAGAAGAAGATATAGAAGAACATACACAAGTGCAAACATACACAGGTGCAGAAAGGGCAGCAAGACTACTTACCAAGAAGTACACACAAGTATATGTATACTCAGTTTAAGCGCAGACTAGGAAAATGAATGTATTTTCAGATGATTTCCAGCTAGATCCCTGCCATACAATTCTTGGAAAATGTAACCTTTTTTTCCTGGATTCACTCTTTCAACCACTACTTCTACATAGACAGCACTTCAAGAGTCCTTTTCTAGCCTGTCATCTCACAAAGCTATAGACCAGAAAGAACTACTGAACCTGGTGGGCAAGGAAAACCCTTTTAATGCCTCTCCAATGTGTTTGCAAGAACCTTACCTTTCCCTGGAAGCCAGCTAAGAACAGGAAAGACTGCATGTACAAATGGGGTCCCGAAAAAGCCCAAACGTACAGTAAAAGACAAGGTCAGCAAAGACACGAAGAGGGAGATTAAAGAACATCTGCATGGAAAGCTGAATGGATGAGGTAGCCAAAGACACGCTTAGAAACCCAGAGAGATTTATGTCCTGAAGCACGTAGGGTATATATGTGCATGCAGGTATGTGCATACGTATGTACATGTGCTGGAGTGAGAACTGGAAAGCTACCTACCTACTGAGGAGATAAAAAGTGGACACCTGACAAGAATTGATATTAAAATATCCCAGGAAGACATTGCTTTTCCAGGTCTCCTTTTCTTTCAGATGCTTCTCAATTGCAAGCGCACATTTGATGAAATGACTGCTTAGCATAGGGGTGAGTATGCACGAATATTAATGAAGAGGAAAACATCTCCTGTTTTGCCTGAGTGTCTAATTAAGTAGGTGCTTAGCTGTAGTTTCTAGGAATTTGACATAAATTATTTAAAATTAGAAGTCAGGCTGGAAATATCATTAAAATATCATGAGAACAGTATTTTCTGTTCTGTATCCTAGCTTTTCCACTCCCAGTGAAAGGAACAAGTGAAGAAAACATAATGGTGATCAATACACATACATATACACACACCGTATGATCAGCTTTCGGAAGCTTACCGGAAACTCGAGTCAGATTCATTTTGAGAAAAGAATGCAAACCAGCTATTAGTATATGTTTATTTTTTTTACAAAACCTTCCTACAAAAGAAACTGATTTGGGTAAGGATTTAAGTGTGGGATGAAGTGAGGGAAGGAAAAATTGTATTCTTCTGCAGAATGATGTTTAAAAAAAATTAAAGAATACTGTAACTATTTGAAATAAGCTCTATTTTGGTTAAGCTACTACTACAGAGTTTGGGAGGTTTTATTTTCTGCTCTTGCACAGACCTTGTGACTTTTGGGAAGTCACTTTACCTCTCTGGGGGTTGGGTCCCCAACCATAAATAGGGTTGTTCTTAAGCAATAGTTGCTACCAATCTCTAGTGTAGGACCTATAAATAAGAAATTTTAAATCATTCATTTGTTACTAGTATAGTGATCATATACATATCTAGAAGAGTTGTGCAGTTTGCTATCTGAACAAATAAGAAAACCATCTGACTCCATGTTTCATATTTAAAAGAAAAATCATTTAACAGATCAGTGTGAGAATCACTATTTTTTTAAATGTGTTTCTTCAGTTAGAACTTGCACATGACTTAACAAAGCTTAAACACTTACTGTCATAGTCCTGTAGATTTTCAATTGCTGATAACAATCTTGCCCTGTCTTCTGGGTTTGAAATATTTAATTCGATCAGATGGCTCTCATGTAGATCCTTTAAGTCCTCTAGAGTTTCATAGCCATTTAGCAAGAGGGTTGAGGCATATTCCTACAAAAAGAAAGAAGCAAATCCTCTCATGTAAACAATCACTATGTTTAGCAGAGGAATAGGCACAATTTCTCTTTTACTTTTTTGTCAGGTTGAAATGGGCTCCATTCTCCAGTCTGATTGACCTGCCTTTGGCATAAAACCAGATTTGGAGAGCAAGAGACGTCAGAGGCGGAGACGCCTGGGGGTCCTCCTGGCCATCCCAGCATCTGTGCCCAAGTTGTCTAACAGAGTCCGGCAGCAAATTGGACCAGGACAGAGCTCTGCCAGAAATTATTTAATCTGCTGAGCGTCTGGACTTTTGTGGTTCACCCTGTGAGTGCCTCCCATGCTGGGTCCAGGAGGGCCTCTGAGGTAGGGTGTGCTCTGCCTTTGCACAGAAGGAGCCCTTCGCTATAAGTGAGGGTGAGAAGCCGAAGGAGCCCTTGGTCGTGCTGTGTCACAGGTGGTCCCCCTTGAGCTGTATGTCGATGCAGTATGAAACTGCGCATACTCCAGGGAAAGGAGTGTTTGCATCAGCACCAAAGCAATAACCGTTATTAAAAATGTTACCTGTAAATCATGACCTAATTACGCTTTGACACTCAGTCAAGAACTAGGGTTGCAGAGAGGGAGAGAGGCGCAACATGAGCATAGTGCAAAAAGACTATTGCTCCCTAAAGATCACGAGAAATTAGAAACCCAAATTCTAAATGTTGGCGCTGGAGTCAGACTGCAGTCCTGTCCCTGAGGTGCCCACAGTCACACACCTCCTACGCTTAGGCACACAGTTGCAGTCAGGTTACGGTGACTTGACAAGTCACCACCGTGCCTCTTTGAATGGAGTCTCTTAGCCTAACCAAATGATGTGGTAAAATGCAGTTCTATAAGCCACTCATATCAGATAAGACAGACGCGAAGCTGCTTTGCTTTGCTGACATCAAAACTGCTGAAACCTGCCTTTCTACTCCTCCTATGCTTAGGCACACAATTGCAGTCAGGTTACGGTGACTTGACAAGTCACCACCGTGCCTCTTTGAATGGAGTCTCTTAGCCTAACCAAATGATGTGGTAAAATGCAGTTCTATAAGCCACTCATATCAGATAAGACAGACGCGAAGCTGCTTTGCTTTGCTGACATCAAAACTGCTGAAACCTGCCTTTCTACTTCTGCCTGTAAATGACATCCAAACCTGAGCGCACAGAAATGAAACGTTTCAAATACAGCTGGGAAACGCATTGGCTGACCTGCAGGTGGACACACTCCAGGAGCTCTTGCAACGTTTTAGGCTTGGTCCTTTTGCTTCCTCTGTGCGGCTTTATCTTTCTGGGTGTGGCTTCCTCTTCCAGGATAATATCCACGTAAATGAACTTGAAGTTTCCTACTTTGTTGTTCAGCATGCCTGTCCATATGCCCATGGGGGTTTTACAGATGATATCTATAATGTCTCCCTTCTAGAACAATTAAAAAAGCACACCACTGCTTACACATCTGGTTTGTTATATGTAGCTTTTCCGCTACAGACCAAAACCAGCACAGACAGCACAGAATCTTAACTAATCAGTGCAAAGTAACTTTTTAAAATTACCTAGATTTAGCTCCTTCGCTTTTATAAAATCCCAGCAAAATAATTACAGAAAATTGAGTTAGTCTTTGTCTCCAAACCTTTGCGAAGGAGAGATGAGCATAAGCAGCCCCTCTCACCATTTTTGTGCTCCATTTGATCCCTGAAAAGGGGTAGGGTTGCATCAGCAATCAACTTTTGCCATGGATAGTGGGCGTAGATTTGGCAAAAAGCAAGGGAACACTGTGAGGTTATTTTCCAAATATGTGCCAAATCATTTACACAATAATCTTATTATCCAGCATCTGAAGGCTCTTCAAAAACTGATAGCTGAGCTATGTGAAAGGTGGACTCTTACCCATTTTACAGTAAAAAACATTGGCTACATTTCTCAAAGGCAATAAAGAACATTTAACTCCCTTAATATCTTCCTGTCTGTCCTTCCCAAAGGACTGACAAATTTTCCCACTATTATTAACACAATTGACTGAGAAAATAGTGGAAGGCACCTTAGCAGACAGATCTAAAGGCTTCAGCTCTCCACACTTGTGCATTCACTCACAAATGTGAGTGCAAAAAAGAGTGACAATACAGCTACTTCAAGAAGGCTTTTTGGTAAAGGTGTTCACAGCCACGCTGTGGGAACCAAGGTCTCAGCTCAGCAAAACAGTCACTCTGAATAATTCTTATAGAAAAAAGGCTCCCTTGTAAGTCATACCCCCTACACAACTTGCTCCCATGACCGCAGAATTGAGTCCTCTCTTCTGGGCAGGTACCACAGAACTTTAAAAAATGTTGAAAGTCTTTAAAGAGTTACCCAACAAATCCCCATGTACACACTTCATTTGGCATTCTGTTACAAAGTTAAAAATCAGTTTGTTAAAATATGTTGAACAACTCCAAGACTTTTGAATCTTTCCTGGTCTGGTCAAGAAACTGCAAGTAAAGTGGTCACCCTAGTTTTGGTACAAACCCAAGTACGAAATTGACTGTGTTCCAGTGACCCGGTTTTGTTAGAATATAGAGCTCAGAGCTATGAGCACATTTGAAATGGAAACTAAACAAACATTTGTTTAAAGCTCTATAAGCACACCTTTTATTCTACACACTCATGGAGGCTCAGGAACTTCAGACGTGGATGCAGATCAGGATTAGGCAGTAGCTCTAAGCCAAGTTGCAGATGCACTTTGAATTCAGATTCAGGGTATTGAAATTTTGTGAGATAAATTTAGGGGATTTCAACCCTAAGTATTAGTTTATAATTCTAAAATACACCACCCCAGTGACTAAAAAAAGGAGCCTATGTGAGCCTGCAGACATTTGCCATTTCAAGACCAATTAAATTGTTTTGAAAGAAATGCCCTAGGTGTGGGTGGAAGTGGAGGGCAAGTGGTGAAGACTGCAAGTACTGGCAGAGCAATGGCTGTAATGTAGGCCAGGGAGGAGGAGAGGGAGACTGCAGTGAGATACAGGTGGGGATTTTGACAAAAAGGAAATTTTGACAAAAAGGAAATTTTAGCCAAGGAAAATCTCCATCCTTTATTGGATGCAGGGGGGAACATTGTCACTGAGGATGAGGAAAAGGCTGAGGTACTCAATGCCTTCTTTCAGTCTTTAACAGGCAGACAGAC